ATTTCACTTGTAATAACCTTTCATTTTGTGATAATAAAATCAGAAATAACATCTTCACGGGTCGTGAACTCGGGTATCGAAAAAAACATCCTGGTTCGCTTTGTTGTAAGAAGACCTGTTTACCAATAGACACCAAAAAAAAATCTCAAAGAGGGTTCAGAAAGCCTTATTTATATCATTTAGTGCAAAACATATTTTCTCTTCTATACGGCGTAGAAACATACCGATAACATGCAAAAAGAGTAATTTTTTTGGAGACAGAGATGATAATCTATATATATAACTCAAAGGTGACTGACTGACATAGTGATCTATCAACGCACAGCCCAAACCACTGGACGGATCGGGCTGAAATTTGGTATGCAGGTAGATGTTATGACGTAGGCATCCGCTAAGAAAGGATTTTGATCAATTCTACCCCCAAGGGGATAAAATAAGGGATGAAAGTTTGTATGAAACTTTGTCTTTTTAAACCGATCGGGCTGAGACTTTGCATGCAGGTATAAGAAGAATCATAGATGAATGCCATTGTGTATAATACAAGCCTGAGAACAAAAACTGCAGTCTACACTTCAGCTCTACACCGAAGCGAAGCGATGGCGGGCCGCTACTAATTAATAAAACCATTTCAATCTAAGTCGAGTTAGATCAGTTTTCACTGAACGTACAGAATTATCGTCTTTGGTCAATAGGTCACTCTGTAATCCACAGGGTTTGATTAAGTCAAGATCAGGTGAAAATGAAGTTGCCTTTATTTTTCTCGATTCAAGAGTTCACGACCCGCAACGATGTTATTTCTGATTTTTTAACAACAAAATGAAGCTAAGTAATGCGCAAAATATAATGTTATTGTACATGGGTGATTTAAGTGAAATTAAGTTGTTATTGTACCAATCATCACAATATATTCCTATTATTATAGTTATATAAGTTATTTAAGGGATTGTTACCATGTACCTTGTTTTTAGCGAGTTTCCGATATTTCGGCACTGTTGCAAGCGCCATGATCACGCCATCATCGCCATGAAACTCGCTAAAAACAAGGTACATGGTAACAACCCCGTTAATAACTTATATTACTATAATGTGAGTGACCATGAAAGTTTAAAACAATATGTTCCTATTGCAATATAACCGCCATAACTTAAAATGAACGACTTTAGGGATTTCATTCATATTTTTTTAAGTTTTCTTATACTTTGTAGAAGGCTTTTAGGGAAGCAAAAACTTAGAATGTAGGGCAGATAATAATAAAATTTTAAAAAACTATTTCACCTTCAGCTCTATTTGATAGACAACACTGCAGTTGGGTTTTTAAAAAGATTTCACAAGTCTTGCAACAGCAGTACAGAGTGAGCACAATAAAAGAACAAAAATAGATAAAGATAGAATTCCTAGGACAATCAGCTCTTTTTTGCAAAGAGACAGTTTTGTTACCAGGCATACTTATTGTACAATAAACTAAATACAACGCTTCGGACTTAGAACTTTAGTAACAATCAAATTAAAAGTAAGATAATTGACTGGCTTAAGGCATACGATTATAAAGGTGTACAGAGTCTTGTTTATGGCACCTCGAGATAATAAACACACACGCACACATCACTCAAACATAAACGTACACACACACACACGCACGTAACCACGCACACACACACGCACACACACACACACACACGCACCACGCACGCACATACGCTGGATAAATATGAAACACTAACCATGTATTTTAACTATCTAATTCTATTTTAAAAATACTAAACATTGCCTTATACGCGTCTGAAATTACCATGTATATGTGTCATTTTTTGGAAGATACTGGCTCCCAATACACAGGTTAATCCTATATTTTTAGGAGCCAGGGTCCCTTATGATTTGTATTCTGGTATTTATCCAATAAAGATTTTTATTATTTATTATTATTATTTTTCGGTAGGAAAACGTATGTTGGCTACGCTAGTTAAATGTGTTTTACAGGCTGTGAAAGGAATTTACACGTCATCCATCACATTAATGCAATCGCTCTATTTCATCTTACGTAAAAGAGACTTTGACGTCACGAATCACAGTAAAGGTCCATTGATTGGTTATTGGTTATAATATTCAAACAAGATCCGTGTCGGTTTAAGTATAATGTTCAAGAAATATTTTCTTCAATTTCATTAAATAACTAAACAAATCACTTTAGCGATTGATATTTAAGAGGAGCTCGATGGCGCAAGTGGTTAGCGCATTGGACTGCGATCGTTGAAGTTAGGCAACTTTCGCAGTGGTTGGTCATTGGATGGGTGACCAAAAAATTCTATCTCGAGTTCCTCCGTGCTTTGGAAGGCAAGTTCAGCCGTTGGTCCCGGTTGCATCTGCAGTCGTTAGCACCCGCCAATCCGCACTGGGCCCGCGTGGTGGGTCATGGCCCAATCTCCCTATTCCATCCATAGGGAAGGCCTGTGCTCCAGCAGTGGGGACATTAATAGGCTGATGATGATGATGATTTAAATAAAGTACTATGAACAAATTCCACGCGGTCCAGGCAGCAGTCGGGACTCGAACCTGAACCCTTCGCTAACCGGGCGAAAGCACTGGCCGTTATGATACCGCGGCCCTGACGGCCGTGTCGAATACTCTCTAGCCCTTCTTAAGCTGCAAGGCAGCGCCATCTCTTCGCATTGTTGGTAACCCACAAAAGGATTTCTTTCTAGTTGACATTTTCTTTAAATTGAAACATCTAGCAGTTAAATCCTTAAAATAAAAATATAACTACTATGAACAAGTTTGGGAATCCTGCGTAAAATAAATATTCGATATCGATTTGAAGCTTCGATTTACTACTGTTTCACTTGTACAGTAGCACGAAGATTTTGTTTATTACAACTAGCAATATTGTTTATTACTGAAAGTATTAATTATATAATCTCAATCAAAGTATGTTAATAAAAACATCAATATGTCAAGAGTTATAAAAAAAAATACCTACAGTGGAATTCAGAAACGTCTTGTTGAAGTTTGTCAGCGGCTTCGGCTATCATATATATATATAGAGAGAGAGGATATTTTTTATTGACCACATTAATAAATTTACAAAACAACATACATAAAAAAATAGCTTAAAGTCTCTCTATTAACAATCACAGCCTAAAACATCTTGAAATATTATTCACTAGTGGCCCGCCCTCGCTTCGCTTCGGTGTAGAGCTGTAGTGTAAACTATAGTTTTTGTTCTCAGGCTAGTGCTATAAACAATGACTTTATTTATATAATTACACGTGTTATTGTGAGTCAACCATAAAAGATAGACATATGCTGTTCCGGGATATTTTTTAGACAATTTTATGTAGAATATTTCCGTTATACATGATTTCTATGTAACTTTAACCATTAAGGCTGCACACGCGACGGAAGCTTAAAAAATGGAGTAACTTCTCCCGTTTTCCCAACATTTCCCTTCACTACTCTGCTGCTATTGATTGTAGCGTGATGAAAAGTATACTATAACCTGCCCAGGAGTATGAAGAATAATTGTACCAAGTTTCGTTAAAATCCGTTGAGTAGTTTTTGTTTCTATAAGGAACATACACACAGACAGACAGACAAAAATTTTACTGATTGCATTTTTGGCAACAGTATCGATCACTAATCACCCCCTGATAGTTATTTTGAAAATATATTTCATGTACAGAATTGACCTCTCTACAGATTTATTATAAGTATAGATTAAAGATGAACCAACAAATTTCCAATTAAACGAGGCAAATACGTACATAAGCTTCAATTAGATAAGTGACGTAATTAGAAACGACAATGGTGGAGATATCGGCGATACAAAAGAGCCGGCACGCCAATCGTTGTGAAATAAAGGTGGTCCACTTGATCACAGCGTGGATCGCACCAAGAACGAAGCTTTCACTTTACTACTGAGTACTAACGACGGCGGAATGCATAAGCGCAGACATCCGCACCACCCTGTCAAAGCAATGGGACCTTTCTTGCAATCTACACAAAGAATAGTATTGTCAAGCACGCGCAAGACGAGTAGGTACAAACCAATAACCAAAGTGGCTTGCTTCAATCACATCAGATTTTGGTGATGACTCTGTTCCACGTTATGCAACGTTGTGCAAATGAAAAGTTTTACCGAAAACATCTTTTGTTAAAAAAAGTCAAACCTTGATCTGTGACGATTGATAACATCTTTCTTGTTGATTGTAAAACAGTTAACAAATGATTTGCATTAGTTTAGGTCTCGAGAATGGTAATTGATGACGATATTAATATTCATAAAACAACTATTGTTATACTAATGGCATCTACGGAGCATTGCCTCTGTAATTGCGTGGCTTGTAAACTCACGCGTTCCTACGATTTAATTGCTCTTGTACTTTGACGTCTTTGTTGGAGGCAAAAAATAAAGAAAAAACAAACTAACCGATGTGTTATTGTAGATGGCTGTATTATTATGATGAAACATTAACGAGCGTGCATTCCATCTGATAATAATTATGGCTGACATTCTATCGACATATTGGAGAATTGCTTGGATTGAATTCTAGTATAATGAATCTAGGCTTCTTCGAATTAATTAGGAGAATAATTTCTTCTCTCGACATTTCCATTCAAAGATTTGCTTTGTAGCTTTTTAAGTCGATTCGATTATCAACGCACAATATAATTTTGTTAATTGTTTTTATACGTTCATATTAAATCGTTATAAAGAAAATTACTGGAAATGTTAGAAAACATGAGAAAACCATCGGTGAAATAAGAAAGTAATGACGCAATGAACCGCGTTAGAGAAAGTACAGACAAAACTGCTTCGTCATTTGATTCATATCCAATGTTCATTCATTAATAAGTTTAGAAAGTTTTATTAAATGCTTATTACACTTAAAGCTGACTTAACCGAACTAGCTGATCACGCTGATCAAGAGAGGCTGTTGAATCATAATAATCATGTTGAGACACGTTCCCGACAATTTTTTATGAATCTCTAATGATATTCTTACTTTTATCTGTTAGAAATCATTAGAAGTCCTCTAGGTGTGTCCAAAATTGTTGCAAGTCACTTTGAAGCACATTTTTACACTGTTTGAGTTTCCAACAAAACGTGTTCGAAAACAAGATGGCGTCGTGACATGATTGTACTTGCGCTCGCGCACTCTGCGCCGGGTCTCGCGGCTTACTGGACTCGCGCACCAGCCGTGACAGTGACATCGTACCCCACTACAAACATCGAAGTTGCAAACAAGACTCTATAATAAGTGGCAGTATACTCAAATTGGATAAATAATGTAGGAAGTTGAATATTGAATTAACAAGTAGGTGTTGAATTGGGGAAAACACACGGTTTGATTGGAAGCGGAACGCTTGTTTGGGCTCACAGACTTGTCGAAACCTTCAACTTATTTCCACTGGTTTATAGTAATTTAAGTATGGTCGTCGACAAACGAGTCTCAACCAATAATGTAATGAGTTTGTTTCATTTTTTAATTGACTTCTGAAGTTATATCATATTATTAATGCCGATCAGAATAATAATCTTGAGAGTTCCGACCAAATCACTACATTAACGTGCATCAATTCGGCATAGTATCTCAGGAGAAAAATATTCAATTATTTGTAAAAAAAGAATCAAAAGGTATATAGACATAAATTACAGCAAAAGTTAACGTATCATTACAATGAAGTCTTTATGCAATAAAAACCTAAATACCTACCTCAATAGCATAAGTGTTTCTGGCAACTCTCTGACTACGCAGAGCGAACTTAGAGGAGGAGGCGAGCGCTCACGTTCTTTTAGAATGCAAGGACATTCCAAGACAAAGGACTAAATTCATAGGAAGTTCATGGATACTAAAAAAACTATGCTAGAACATCCCTGAAGTTCTGGGTTTCCTGGAGGAGCTGGGATTAGGAGAACTGATGCAATTTTATACACAAAACAGTTACAGACTGTTGAGCTATGGAAAAATAGTCCGCCGTGAAACTTAACTATGTACCTTTTTTACGATTTTGAAGTTTATCCGCTCATTAGAAAATAAAATTATAAGAATCCTTGACGTTGCTTTTCTATACAAGTACTCACAGACAGCCACAGGTCAGGTTACCCAAAAATGTTTTTTTTCCATATGACTTCAAGAATTATATCACATAAAGATACCGAAAATATGATTCACAATTAATAAAGGAAAGTTAGTTAGTGGTAACGTTTTTTCTGTTGCCGTGTCATATTGTCAATTAGACTTTTTATAAAACAGTAAACAAGCTTAGAAATATTTAATGAAGCTCTGCACAAAACGTTTATTTACATTTGGCAAAAAAACGGTCATCTGAACGCTTTTTATTACTTCGTCGAGATCAAGAATACCTAAATGAAATTCCACGCAGACTAGCGTGCCGAGAAATCCAAACTTAAAAATTTTTACTCAGTGCCCAGATTGCCTTTTACAAGATAAGACAAGATACGGCGGTTGTTTCGCTAACTTAATACCATAGAAAGTCTGATGCGGATTCCTTCTAACGTTTTCGGAAAATACTTGAGGAATGCAGGCGTCTCCAAGTGAAGTATTTATTCAATTAGCTGGCATATCGACTACACAAGTGAGATGTGGTTAGCTGGCATGACGACGCGACCGTTACTTAGAGTCACTGACCACTAATGCTTCCAGCGATCTAAGATCGGCTGTCGGAAACCTAATAGATATATACTTAACAGTAAATCAATCAAAACCAATTCCATATACATTAAAAAATTATGTGGTAAAATAGGGTATTTGAAAGTATTAAAAATAAAGTGCCAATTGTTAGCATCTGTGTTTAGAATGAATATTGGCAGGGGTTTTTACTATTTTTACAAATGTAAAAATATAAAGTATTCATAATTTTACTAAAAACCCACGAAAAAGATAATAGTTTTCTTATCTATTCTCACGTAACACAAAACGCTTGGGATTGGCGGAGCCTAAAATGACGTCACACGCAAGTAAATTTCGGGTTAAAGTGACATTACATCGTATCGTTGGACGTTTTAATATCAGCCGTGTGACGTCACACACTAGTAAGACGTAATATTGTCCAGAGAACAGTTTAGCGGCAACTTGAAAATGGAGTTTTTGATTTGGTTATTTTTACTGAAATACACAACAGAATGATGAATATCAACTTTTTACGGACTCCATAAACATTAGTTAATAACGTGAGATCGTTTTCTAAAACTTGTCAAATACCCTATTGTACTTAAGTAAGGTTTAAAGACACAAAACAATACTTTAGAATAAAAAATTGTGTGATGAGTTGATTCGATATCGACAACGATTCTTGTATGCTTAAGGCATATTTGACGCAGTGACTTGTTAATATAAAGCTGTTCGACAAGGTTAGGACAAAATAAATCATACATTTATAAAAGAAACTGGGGTTTTGTTAATTATTTAGAACTATGATTACGAGGAAAAAGTCAAACAGTGGTAAGACAATTATTGAAGTACTATCTACTACTACTGTAACACAATCACCCAGATTCGAGATGATTCTAAATGTTTGTTTTCTAATTTGATCTGACTGGGAATTAAAGGACACCATTTAAAGGAGATTGTTCAAATTGGCCCAAATGCACAAAAAATATTGACATATACGGTAATTCTTGGCGTAATTTATACTTTATTTTACAGTCATTAGATTTTAACGGACACCTTTGTATAATATATTCATTTTAAAAAGGACTTTTAATTTGACCGGTTTGAAAAACATACGAATCAGCCAAAGAGTTTAAAAATTCTCTCTAATCTGCGGCTCATTCACAATCATCAAACAGTTTCTGTCACAGAGTACCTCCCTTATTATAACCGGAAATGCATAGATGATACCTGATTTTAAAAGTTACGAGTAACTTTAAAACCGGCAACTATCTGTTAATCTACATGCTCTTTATACTCAAGTATATATCTAATTCATAATTGAGGTACTTGGCTTGATTTCCCTAGTTCACTATATAACTTATTTGTTTTTTATTATTTTAATACCCATGTACCTCTTTGCAAACATAACCTCAAAATCGTTCAGTGTATATGGTTTATAGAAGTTTTCAGGGGTGTCCGTCAATAATGTTCGTTTCTACAGTAATTTATATATAATTTCGAATCAAGGAAACAATTTTTCATGATTATTGGTCTTTAGGCCAAACATGTATGGAAGCTGAGCAATCTCCTTTGTATAGACGGTGGTAGTCAGGCTCTGGCTGACTCCAAATTTTTATGACATGTAGTGCACTTAATAATACATTGTTTGATAAAAAAACTTGAATTTATTTTATGTCTGTTTTTTTTTAATAATTATTGTTACTTAAAATTACACAGTTATTGATTGACAATTGACAAGTTTATCTAAATCAAATATATTCATTCAATATGTAACTTAAGTAGTGATAATGATTCCGTTCATCTCTCATTATGTTTTTAGGTATTTTGTGGGTATTGAATTTCAAGAAAAACTATCCAAAATGGTGTAATAATTTCACTACGATTTCACGAACATCGGGCATGATTAGACTGATAAACATTTTACAGTGACCGAGTTGACATTAATAAACTGCTACATACTAAAATATGACGTTACTTATGACAGCACAGGGTCAATGACAATTTACAGACACGATTTAAAATTAATCAGAGATAAATAAAAAATATAGATAACATGAACAGCTCTTCTTTCAAATTATATATGTTTCATCGCCGCCGGAAACCGAGTACCACTTTTAGTACTTAACTAATGATTCAAAGGAGATAGCTCAGGAGATGAAGACACCACTTGGGAATCTAACTAATGTGTTTCATAAGGATTTATCTGTATTAAGAAAATATTGCTGGAAAAAACTCCTCGGCTAAATTATTTTGGGGAAACTTTTTCTTTACACATATAAAATCTATTAAATGCTTAAAATTAACAATAAAACCAAGCATTACCTTTACTCTAGATTTCTTTATAAGTGACAGTGTAATTTAGCTCCAGTCTTTTGTACGACGAGGGTAACTTTCCCTGATGTATTTATCAATTCGGAAAATCAAAAGAGCTTAGACAGGAATATATTTTACGGGACATAAGCCACCAAACACATTTTTATACAAAGTGTACATTTCTATCGCTCTTAAGCAGGTAAATTATAAATTAAAGGACAACAATTCAAGTTACGTAGGTATTCTTTTGGGGTTTTTGTGTTCAATCCTTTTGGTTGATTTTCCGTATTTGTTCATTATACTAGGTCTTTATATACATTATGCGGTCATTTTTATTTACCGATGGAGTACTTATTATTTGATACTAGTCTTAGAGAATCAAAAAATAAGAAAGTCCCGGTGCACTTCGTGTCACCCATCCTAACGACATTAAAACTCCCCCGTCGCTGAAATGGCTGAAAATTTTGATCGGTAATATCAGACGTTTAATAATAATATTTCCAACACTCACACCAATTAGCCTAGACCCAAGCTAAGCACTATAAGGCTTGTGTTATGGGATACTAAGGTAACGGATAGAATACATACTCTGTACATATATAAGTATATGTATTTAGAAATACGTATTAAACATCCATGACTGGAGTACAAATGCTCGTATTCATCACACAAAAATCTACCCCCACCGGGATTCGAACCCGGGACCTCTCGAGTAAGTAAAAATGAATTATAAGTACATATTTATACTATGTCGTATGGGATGCTATTGACACCAGGTACCTACGTAATATTCGGAAAAACAAAACCTGAAAGCATATAGTGCACAGCACTACGGTGGTATGGTTCAGTCCCACCCTACCCCTGGGGGTATGGCTAGGGGTATGGTGGGTCTGTCATGCACCCCGACACCATGAAACCCGGCGTACAAACCACTCGGCCAAGGAGGTCGTCAAGGTAGAACGGTTTATATGGGAAAATGAAATTGTTGTTATTACAATATTCCTCACAATTATTCCTTGTTTTCTCACCGTTTAAATATTCCCTGGACTATGGTAAACATTTCGAATCTAAAATCGGCTAAATCGACCCAGCCGTTCTCGAATTTAAGCAAGAGGAACGGACTACAATTGATTTTTATATATATACTAGTGGCCCGCCCTCGCTTCGTTTCGGTGTAGAGCTGTAGTGAAGAATTCGATTTTTTCTCACATTTTAAACATTCTCTTGACCTCTACGAGCATTTCAAGACCAAG